AATTTTGGTTATTTCAACCAATAGAAATAAGCCATTCAATTTCTTCATAACACTAAGGTTGTTTACTTTTTCTTTCAAAAAACGTTTTATTTTATTTTGGATAAGCTAAGAATCTTTTTCTTTGACATTTTTTATAAATTATTTATAGTTTTTGTTATTTTATAAATAGAACCGGGAAAACTCTGTATAGTAAAAAAGATAATAAAACAATAGGTCAAGCCCCTCACTCCCCCTACTGTAAGACGATTTATTATTTTGTTTCACCATATCAAAAATAATTAATAAATATCTACATTGTCAAAAATATTGAAATTGTTCCTTTAAAAATAATTAATAATTCGGGCAAATAAAAATAAACCTTGTAAAACAACATTAAATTGATAATATAATATTAATTATTATATACTATTTTATTGGTTTTTTAATCCAACAAAAACAAATAGTCTATTCTAGAATTGACACACATTAAATGATTTGTTATGAGAACTTTAATATTCACAAAAAGCGTTCTAAATTTAATTTAATCTAAATTATTACATTAAAATTTTAAATTGTGTAAATATGGAAATATAAATCAACTTGAAATATTTAAACGAGTAAAATGTTTTATCAAAAATAATATGTTACGGAATAAATAATAAAAAAAGAAATGAAACATATTCTAATAAAAATTATTACACATTTTTGGTCGAACTATAAAATAGTTAAATTGATTATAATATAAATAGAATTAAGGTAAAAATCAAATGTTTAAAAATCTTTTCTCATTACCAACTTTTGCCACAGTTGAATAATAGTTCTCAAAAATGTTTAATGTTAATAAAAATAAACAAAAATTAAATACTTTTGGAACGTTTTTATATTATTAACTTTTTATCATTTATCGAATAAAGTATTATAATAATATAATTTTATGATGTCTTTAATTTATTTTAAACTTATTTATCATTATAAAAATTAAATTAAAAAACTAAAACATTAAACTATATATTAGGAAAAAAATACGGGGTTTCCTGATATTTACTGTTATTATATATCCCATTTTTTAAATAAAATAAACAAAACTTAATTTAAATTATAAAACACTTTTACTATTTTACAATTGGAATAAAAGTTCGACAAAACCGAAAAGATCTTTTCAAAAAATGACAAATATAGTTTGTAATTACAAATTGATTTTGCTTCATATTTTT